GTGTGTGTATATGTGTGAGTGTGTGTATATGTGTGAGTGTGTGTGTCAGTGTGTGTGTGTGTGTCTGTGTGTGTGTATGTGTGTGTGAGAAAGTGTGTGTGTGAGAGAGAGAGTGTGTGTGTGTGTGTGGCTGTATGTGTGTGTGTGTGGCTGTATGTGTGTGTGTGTGGCTGTATGTGTGTGTGTGTGTGTATGTGTGTGTGTGAGAAAGTGTGTGTGTGAGTGTGTGTGAGAGAGAGAGTGTGTGTGTGTGTGGCTGTATGTGTGTGTGTGTATGTGTGTGTGTGGCTGTGTGTGTGTGTGTGGCAGTATGTGTGTGTGTGGCTGTGTGTGTGTGGCTGTGTGTGTGTGTGTCTGTGTCTGTGTGTGTGTGTGTGTGTGTGTCTGTGAGTGTGAGTGTGTGTGTGTGTGTGTGGTTGAGGTGTATGTGTGTTTTTTTTTAATTCATTCACGAGATGTAGATGTCACTGGCCAGGCCAGTATTTATTGCCCATCAGTTGAGAGTCAATCCCGTTGCTATGGGTCTGGAGGCACATGTAGGCCAGACCAGGTAAGGATGGCAGATTTCCTTCAGTAAAATACTGAATGAGCTAACAATCAGCAGCAGTTTAATGGTTATCACTAGACTCTTAATCCCAGAATTTTTTTCAAATTCAAATTCGACCACCTACCATGGTGGGATTTGAACCCCACAACATTGCTTGGGTCTCTGGATTAATAGCTTAATGATAATACCACGAGGTAAGTATGTGCATTTAGGTGTGTGTGTGTGTGTGTGTGTGTGTGTGTGTGAGAGAATGTGCATGCATTTGTGCGTGTGCATGTATGCACGCGGGCATGCGTATGTGTGTTCATGTGTGTTTGTGTGTGTGTATGTGTGCATGTGCATGTGTGTGTGTTTGAGTTGCAAAGGTGCTTGAAATAAAAACTCATATTCTTCATCAATCATTTAATGAATTAGGTGTAAAGCGACAGAAGACAGGAGACTGCCAAAGTGGTTTATGTCTATGCCTCACCTTCCTATTCAGCACATTTTTAATTCTCTTTGTTTTGGACTGAGATTGTCCAACAACAATGTCCTGGTTCCTCCAGTGGGAAAGGCCAGTTATTGTCCCATTCCATTTCCCAGAGTAGGGAAACAGCCCGCCAATTCAACATCTTATTTAAAAATTCAACTTAAAGACTTTCGTCATTTCTAAAGAGTGTGTGAAGAATGAAGACGATAAAGGATGGAGACACAATCACCGTAAAACCAAGGGCAGTGGGCACAGAAACACAGCAGGGCTGGGCTGTGTGTGTGTGAGACAGAGGATAGATATAACTGAGAGCAGTCACTTGATCCAGCTTATCTCAGTTACCCAGAATAGAAAACCCATCCCTGTTTTCCATTACAACAATTTGCATTTATGTCATGCCATTGTCCCTTTACAGGAGTGTCACCAGATAATATGTGGCACTGAACAGTGATTACAAAGTTCAGTCAAACATATAAGCTTTAAGGTGCATCTTTAAGGAAGCAAAAGAGTGGGAATAAGGAAATTCCAAAGTTTAGGAGTCCAGGAAACAGTTTCTGAGCCTCCAATATTTAGCATAGAGGTCATTCCAAGGTCTGATTGCTCTTGGCCAAAGCTCATCTGTGATCTTCCTTTGGGCTGGCTTTAAACTACACTCCTCACTTTGACACAGGAGCAGACCATTCAGGACCTCCAGCCCTGTGCTGCCATTATGAGTGCCAGCTCTCCTTACAACAAGATCGAAGCAAGCTCAAAATCAGGCTGTCGATTGATGAGGGGATGAGGTGGGGGAAGAGTGGTAGGGAAGTTGGTAACCAGAGGAGAGTGATTTTAAACATCTGTCTTTAGGACAAGGGAGGGAATTTGGAGTGTCCTTTTAAACAGTGAGCTGGAAGGGTCTGCCTGAAAGAACAGTGGAAGCTGACTACAGAGGAACTTTCAAAAGGGAGTTGGAGTGAAGGGGAACATTTTCAGGAGTACATAGAAAAATTGGACTAATTGGAAAGCTTTTACAAAGAGGCAAAGCCAGTACCATGAGCTAAATGGCCACCATTTATACGATCCCAAAAATAGGATCTGATACCACTTTTCCAAATTCTTTTCACTCTTTGTATCCCACATACAAACATGCAGACCACTCAGCCCCTTGAGACTTTCTGCCATTCGATAAGGTCTGATTTTAACCTCAGTTCTACATTACCGCATATCCCCGATAACCTTTAACCCCTTGCTCATCAAAAACCTATCTACCTCTGCCTCAGAGATATTTAAAGATTCTGCATCCACTACCTTTTGAGAAAGGGAATTCCAAAGTTTCTGAACCGTCTGAGAGAGAAAATAAATTGCTCTTTCCTAAATGGGAGATGCCTTATTTTTAAACATGACACACCCTCTCTTGATTGCTGACCCTGACAGTTCTTTTAATACCACACCCAGAAAGGACATGTGCGGGGCTCAGGCTGACAGTACTGGGAAGCTATTTGGCTATTAGTGCTATCATACAGCATGTTTTGACTTTGTTGTCAGCAGTTGTTGGATCAAAAGGACAAGACCGAGCTGGATAGTAATAAGAGATAGTAGGAACTGCAGATGCTGGAGAATCTGAGATAACAAGGTGTAGAGCTGGATGAACACAGCAGGCCAAGCAACATCAGAGGAGCAGGAAGGCTGACGTTTCGGGCCTAGAC